TCATATATAAAAATATTTATTATTTATATAAAGATTTTAAGATAGAATTTACTATTCAAAGATTCTATAGAATAGCATTAAGTTTCGATGTGGAACTTGAATTTAATACTTTAAATTTAATAAAAAACTGAAGGATAAAATAATTGAGATACTTGCAAGATATATTTGACATACTCCTAAGATTAGATTTCCCATGCGAGGGGAGGCTAAACATCAATTACGTCACTGTCCCCTTCCTTTCCGATCGTTCTCATCTTATTTTATTTCATCGTCCCTTGCACGCGCTCCCCTCGCCACGAAGTAGCAAAAGGGCGACAATGTGGCATGTGTACGCGCGCGAGTCGATAATCCGAACGTGCGTGAGAGAATAAAATAAAAATAGCTGGCTCGTCGCGAGAGAACGGCTGTAACGTAATTTCTTCTGCCGCTGCGCCGATCGGAAATCGAATCTCGTGCTCGGCGCGATTTTCAACGAACACCCGTCGTTTTCATTGACAATAGCCCTTAGTCTGCAGCGAGCGAAATCGGTCGGTAGTCGCTATATTCGTAATAGAAACAGCGAACACACACACCGGCTATTACTCGATCGAGGAATTGCGAATCAATGATCAATGCTCGCGAGCTTGCATCTCGATCTCGCCACGAAACGCTTTAAGCGTTTTTATTTACTTATCTGTCATGAGCCATACACGTTAGATTTTCATCATTTTTATCTGATTGTTTTAGCGAAAAATCAACGAAATTGTTCGATCTCGTTAAATATCTCCAGTCAGTTCTGTTTCGTATCTCACGTGATGGAAAATTTGATTGAGTGTTCGGGAATATTTTTAGCAGAAAAAGCCACGGAGAGATATTTAATAAAGATCTCCAGATCATCGAAGCAGAAGATTAATTTATAAAATTGGTATCTCTGAGAATATGTGTCGCAAAACGACACTTTCTCACAACGTATACAGATAATTTTAAACAATTAAAAAAAATTATTCCATTATAGGATAATGAACACATAAGCGAGAAGAGCCTTTCCCTTTTATTGTTAGAGTTAAATGCAATTTGAAAATGAGAGGATTAAGGCAATTAATTGCGGAGGTCGTGGAAAGGCCTTAATTATAGTACGACATTGTTCGGAGAACGTAAAAATACCGTAGGTGCGGTATATTTGTTCATTCTCTCTCGTTACTTTTAAATGAATCGCCATCGCCGATCGATCACCGGTGAATTATATCAACCCAGCCTAATTGTCCTCTTTACATAATTATCAGGGCGCAATGCATGCGCACGCGTAACTATTCACCCTTCACTTTAGATAATGTCGAGAAGTAGTAGTTCATAAAATTGGAGTTTCTCTGCGAGACTCACTTAGGTAGCTATAGGACGTGCCAGAATGATTGTTTAAATTAAATTTTATTTTAATATATGGAATCATTGAAGAATTTTTAAATGTTTAAGTTTTCAGTAATAACCTTCTTCTTGGAACACATGATATATAAATATATTATATCTCTTTTTTTTCTGAACAGCTATAAATGAAAAATTAAAATTAAGATTTTAAAATTTAAATTTAAAATTTTTTCAAATTTAAATTTAAATCTAAAATTTTTTAAAATTAAAATTAAAATTTAAAATTTAATAGAAAATAAGAAAGAGGTACGCGCAGTTAATGTTATGATTTATAAAGTATATATATCCAGTATAAATAATAACATTGATTAATTAAGAAAGATTAGAGATTCGAATCGGAATAGAATTAACTTGTTTTGCTTCTCTGGATTTATATTCAATCATAAGGAACAAATTCGGATAACGTTACTGCACTTGTATTGGACAGGGTAAAATCTTTTCAAAATAAAATATAAATTCTGCTTCTTGGAACAAATCATTGATCGAAATATTCCATTTTAGTAAATGCTTTTTATTAAGATTTGATCGATAAATATTGATATTAATATTAATGATGTAAAATGTGTATCTTTGCTGAATAAAACTTTAAATATGTTCGTAAATGGTGCTCTGCTGAAAAGAATATTTAATAAAAATGTATTTTTTTCTATTTTCTCTCCCAAAATTGAATCGGAGTTTTATAAAATAATATTTTCTTCATTCTGTAGAGAGAAAATTGTATTAGAACTGAATTATACAAATAGTTTTGATTCGAAATCTGGTGTTCTTTTATTCTCTCTCTGGAGTTGAACCGGTAATATTGTATACAATATTATTTATTTCAGAGTTAATACATAAATAAGTCGAGTAAAAAATGATTTTATTTCGAAATTCTGTTAATTAATTCGATCTTTTTGCTCACCTGCGACTCTATGTCAGACACCTCTTGACGATAGATCAGGATGTCGTGGAGGGTATTGGCGGTCTGCACGATCAGGGCAAGGATCGGTATGAAGGGCAGCACCAGCATCTGCAGCAGCTGGATCCGCCGGCCGCGACGATGGGCCGGATCGGTTGCACGGGCCCAGCATGACTTCTTCCGATTTGCCTTGGTCCCCGAAACGTCGTCCGACGACAGGCTCCTCACGGAGCTCACTTCCGCCACGCACGAACCGTTGCGCGGCGACATGCTGAAGAGACCGCAATGGAAATTAAAATCGTTCAGTCATCCAATTTATTTATTTTTTTTTTTTTCGAATTTATAGGAAATTATTGCAAGAAGAAAACTTTATTTATTTGACGCATGCTAAATATTTACAGAAATACGTTGGGGGAATGTTTTAAAAAATGTGACTTATAAAAAAAGAGTAAAATAGGGAATCCATTATTTAATTGGAGATGCAAATGAAAATGCAGGTAAAAAATACATGTTGCGGATAGAACAGTACATCAGGGGAAATACATGGGTGATATAAGCTAATAGAACGAAAATAATACAATAATAATGATAATAATGATAGTACAGAGCAAAAGAAAAAAAAAGCAATACTTTGCAATAGAACGTATCACTATTTTTATTAGTGTAAAAAATTCCAGAAGTCTTAATTTCTAGAATCTTCTTAGATATGATCATTAAATGGACTTTAAAATATAAGATTGTATTACAAAAATAAAAAAAAGGAATTCATTCTATCATCAAACTAAAATTTAATGATTTCAAAATTTCAGAATATACATGTTAATACACACACACACACAAGATCTAAAAATGTAAAAAAATTTATGAGTCGAATTCAAGAATTCGAGCAATCTAAAAATCGAAGAAAATCGAAGCATTTAAAAATATTATATTTAACGATCTGACAGACCAAAAATATAGGACAATTCAACAACCCGGATACATGTACGTAATCGTCATATAATTGAAGTTCAGAAATCATGGGGGAAATTCGATTAAAAATCCATCATCAGCTCGATTGTTTCGCGGTGGAATTGTTCGCGATGAGGGTCAAGCTTTTATTTCCGACTTGTTGGGACGATACGTCATCTCGTACGTCCGAGTTTTCGCAATCGCGATAATAATGACAAGCCGACGGATAACAAGTCCGCCGGCGGGTCTTTGTAATTAAACGCGATGCGAGCTTCACAATCACGCTACGCTGCAAAAAAGAGAGCTTTTGCGTTCAAAGCCTTGCAATTGCGAATTTGCAATTTGAGCTCGATAACAGAAAGCGGAAATGTATCCTATCCTTTTTCCTCCCCTTCTTTTTTTTTTATATAACCACGTAGCTTGTTACATTCATGTAAAATCTAGAAACTCGACGCTTTCTCGTTTTTTATTTTTCTCACTTTCTTTATTCTGTTTTTTTTTTGCGTTATCAAGTTTTGAAGAAAAATAAAGCAAATACAGCAATATCTGATGTCAGTATCGCTGAGGATTGAAAGAAAGAAGGAAAAATTTGTCTTATTAAAAATTAGATCATATTTTAGTGGAAACACCTCGAATTAAATTTCTTTGAAAGTCCGCTTTGAAATACGAACGAAAGAAGAAAGTTTTGTTACTTATTTCCATATCTTGATTTTGACGAAATATTTTTAACGGATAAATGACATTATGCGTTAAAGTGGATCAATTTCATTTTGCCACGATTTATTCTATCGTTAAATCGAAATGGCTCGTAAACGCAGCGAGAATTGGAATTCACGAGGAAAATTCCCGGAGGTAAAATAAAAAGACCGTGATCTGTTTCATCTCTTCCTTTCTCGTCTCGTTATTTCCAGAATTCATGAAATATAGAGGAAGAGAGAAAAGGTTAAGCGATCGCAACGAGCAAGTCTCTAACTTCGTTGAGAGTCTTTGATGTCGATCCCGAAGGTGACAAAATCAAAAGCTGTCGTTGAGAGCAAAGTCGTCTCTCTGAATAGCGTCTGATTGTAACATGAGCCTACACATCAGGAAGGAAAAAATTAATAATCCGCCGATATACGTTCTTTTCAAACTTGTCAACGGCAGGAAACTGCCGTCGTCATAAAGCGGGAGCGAAAATAGCGTAATAGTATTAATTTCGTATTGAAGTGGAAAGAAACCACCATCTAATGCTAAGAAAGTAATCGATAAACTACGTATAGGGTCTTTTACGGTTTTATAGGTCTTTTTAGCTTCAGCTTGAAGATCTGAAAAGAATTCTATCTTTAATTTTACATATTTTTTTCTATTTTTCTATATTTTCGCTTTAATTCAAAATTTTCTATTATTATAGATTCTTTTGCGGTTTTATGTCTTTTTTGTTTCAGACAGTTTAAAAAAGTCTGAAAAGTTCCTTCTTTAATTTTATATATTTTTTCTATTTTTATTTTAATTTAAAATTTTCAACCATTCCAATCTCGATTTTTGAAAGAATTTAGTTTTCCGAATGTTCGTGGTTTGCGATGTAATCTTTGAATTTTAGATACTCTTGTGTATTTGCTTGTTTCAGTAGCATCATGTCTTTGAAAAAAAAACTCGTTCCTATCACATCTAATTCAGACATTTATTCATCTCTTTAAACGTTCGAGTTTTTTTTAATTAGAAAGTAAAAATTATAAAATTTTTTAAATATTCGGTAAGAATTTATTTTTATTTTTTGGATGATTGCATTGAAGTATCATCGATTTTGTTAGTCTTGTACGACGAAATTCTAAAACATCGTACATCTTAATAACCTCGACTTTCGAAAATCTAAGGGAACCGACTTCTTGATAATCGGCCCTGGCTACTGAGAGTTGTGCACAATATGCATCTCCGTTCTACCCTTTGCCTTCGCATGTAGTAACACGGTAATAAACTGCACTACAACAACGTCGATGCATAATCTAATGGCATGTCGCTGCCTGTCCTGGTAAGAGCAAGAGGGAGGACGGCCACGTTGCAGGCAGGCAGTTAATTGCAACGGAGCGTGTCTTCGTTTACCCTCTCGCGTTACTGGCGATGCGAACCTCGTATCGAAATCTAATAACTTCCGTATCGATTTATCGAATTAATTTAGTCTTTGCCGAAAATTTGAAATACACTTTGATTCCCAGAAATTTCGATGTAACTTCTCGTAAGAGGATCTATGGAAATAATATTTATAATGTTTCCTCGAATAACTTTTTGGACGACAGGCATAAAATAGAGAGTATCTAAAATGGAAAATAGAAATATTTGTGAATATTTATGTTTATATTATGAATTATTTATGGAACTATCTCTCTTCTATTAGTTTACAAAAATGTGTGTGTGTGTGGTTAATGTAAAAAATAATCTTACATATCTATATGTTAATTAAAATCTTATTTGAAATATTTTGAAATATTTTAGTTTATATATTTCTTGTTAAATGCCTTAAATAATCAATCGAAATAATTATTTTTCATTCTATAGACAGTAATATACTTAAACAATATTTTTACAAACTTGTACTAAATTTTTATTTATTTCTTCCTTACGGTTTATAACTCTTAGAGTCTGCTTTTATTGATGTTTTATTTAATCATATTAGAGTTATTTTTGCAAATTAGAATAAAAAAAACTTTTTTGTGAATAAATTAGAATGACATTTTTCTATTACATAATATTTAAAATAATACAAGAAGTAAAAAAATATTTGATATTTTTAGACCTCTCACATATCTTTATGGAAAATAAATTTTCAAATATACATATTAGGCAAAACTAATATTTAAATGATTATTTTCAATAGTCTATGTCTGAAATGTGCTCACCATTGAATCGCGATTTATCGCAGTCTATTTTCTTTTTAAATAACTAGTGATAACTGGGATTGAAAGAGAGAATTTGCAGAAGTGAAGAAGAGCCATGTCCAAGAAACTTTAAGAACCAATGATACATGGATGCGCACACGTTGAGCATTGTGTCTATAAGAACTTGCATTCTACGATAAACGTGTTTTCGAGTTTCGAGCATTCGCCATCCTTGGAACAATGTGGATGTATCCTCGACAATGCAAAGATCGCTCTCGTACCGCTAATGAATCGGGCAACCAGAAATCCGAAAACTCGCGGCAAGAATTGAGGACGCATCAGAATGCTCGAGAAAGTCATCAAAGGATTCGCGGTCCTTCAATTTTATCATTATTTCCTGAAATAATCTGTTTTATGAGTTCTGATAAATTCTGAAGATTTTACCTATTTAATCCTTCGACGAGCTTGGTACTTTAGAGTAAAGATTCGAGGAAATGAAGATCGCATTCATCTTGCGTAATCGTTTCAGAGATAAATCGTAAATTAATTATACGAGAGTACTAATTTTCGAAACATCCCGTGTGCGCCCTACAATCTGGGACAAATATCACATGATTGATGGGAATTAAATTCGATGCTGACAAGAATGCAGCGGAGAAATGCGATACAATTACAAAGCGGGCATTTCTGATAATTTCTTTGACTCATTTGAAAATATATATTACTATCATATATTTTTTATTTGATCAAAACTCATGTTTATTGCAAGCGGATTTAAATGGCTAAAGTTTAATTATCGAATATACTCTCTCTTTTACATGGACATACACATTAGGATAATATGATATGCGAAGAAAGCTAGAGAATTAATGTATTTACTGCAATCGGCATCAAGTCTAAAAGTAACATCTAAATATGCACAATGATAATAAAATATAAATATATAATATAATATAAGCTGCTTCGAACATTTACGCAAATATTTACAAAAAAAACTTTCTCTTATATCTTTGTTAGAAAAATATATATATATATATATATATATATATATATATATATATATATATATATATATATATATATATATATATATATATATAAACATATGCATCTTATTTATACTCAACATATATACACTATTAATAAATGTAATAATAAATAATACTCACATACACAATAAAGGAATATTATGCACATATACTTGATTGCTATATTTTTCTTGTGATTTCTATTTATGGCTCGTGCGGATCAATCATAAATATCGCGACGATCGAGCCTTATTGTTAGTCAATAATCCCTTTCGCATGCAAGCTTCGTCACATACAACGATGATCCACGATCCGCAAAGCTGTCGAACAATGCAAATCGTCTAGAAGCTGCTCGACAGCTGCTTTTCGTTATTGAGTGACCGAGCGGATTAATGGCTTCGTCGCGTCAGGAAACTGAAACGCACCCTATGCATCCCCCT